ATCTATGCAGTGTCTTTCAATGGTAGATCAATATACTGAAAGTTTCTTCGCACAAGTCTCGGTAATCAAACCAGACCAAATCTGCAAAAAGCTTAACCTTTGTCAAGCAGTGACGGCTCTTACTTCAGAAGTTCATCAAGGAAACTGCGAGACTTGCCGTGAGACTGTCTCAGAAGTTATCAAAAAACTGAAAGATCCTGAGACAAAGGTTTGCACTTTCCTATACTAGTTGCTTCTCTGTATCACAAACTTATCAACTTTGAATTTCTCAAATTGAGCCAAAAGCTTGATAGAGTTTTCCTCGTGAATCCTACAGCTGAAGATCATTCGATTACTTCTGAAGGAATGCAAGTCGCTAAACAATTACCAGGACAAGGTCTCGAACATAACTAATGATTTTGCATATTTTGTGATACGATTTCATGATGATGATGATGTGTTTGTTTATGAATGTGAATAGTGCAAGAAGATGGTGTTTGAGTACGGACCTCTGATGCTTGCGGAGGCGGAGAAGTTTCTGGAAAAGAATGATGTTTGCTCTATCCTTCGAGTCTGTCCAGCCACCAACAACCACCGTGACTACGTTCCGGCTCTGGAGGCAGTGGCAGATTCGTAAATTTGACCACCTTGTTGGTTTCGTCAAATCACACACATTCCATGTCCACATCTGGTTAACTGATGATATTCATGTAAATACTGATACAATAACAAACAAATCAACATGAAAGTCCGAAACGTTTTCCTTATTGGGCTTGTGGCCCATTATTATCCATTTATAGGCTTTGGCCCACTCTACTTAGGCCCTTATTCAATTTCCAAACGAACCGTAATTTTCTATACGAAAATGCTTAAAACCACTGAACCAAACATCGGTTCGGTTTATAGCTTCATTGGTTGGAGAGATTGGTTAAGTTACCAAAATTAGGCGCCAAGCTGTTTTTCTGTTGAGAGGAGAAACTTCCAGCCTTGGGAGGCTACGCAGTGGCCCCCACAAGCGAACAAATGTCTGACACGTGTAACGATAAACAGAGCAAGTTGGAACGACTGTCACCGTATCTCTAAAGCTAAATTTAGAGGATATTCTTGCTTACGTGGCACCTCGTCACTGGTAGTTATCAACTTGAGGAATCATCTTATTCATGAACTACTTGAACAAAAAA